AACCTCCTCCCTCCCCCCCCTTGTAAATTTCATGATTGCTTTCCGTGATGTCATGTTGAAAAGGGCCAGACAATAGCTGAGGGGAAAAGGTAAGTCAATATTATGTTCTTTCGCTGACAAAGGCAGATAATGCTGGCGTTTTTCACCTTGGATGGGAACCGAGGAGAGGGCTCTCGGAGAACACGGTGGATGTCCACAGAGGCAGGCTTTGCTCCGGGAGGCAGGGTTGGTGGGTTTAAAATTACGCTGGAGAACCGAGGGGTCTTGCTAAGATGACGATTCCCCTCTTTTTCTCTCGCCTTCCGAGACTCGCGTGGACATGTTTTTGCTTCTGACTGAAGAGCGCTTTAAGGGGGGGTGGGAGTGGGGGCCGCGCCTAGCGTCGCTTTGAGCTGCGAAAGTTTGCGACTATTTCTGGAAGAGGGGAAAGCAGCAATGCCCGTGGACCTAGGGATCTGTGGATGCTCCCCAGGCGGAATCACTATGTCTTTATCAGAAGAAGCTGTTTAAAGAGAGAGGAAAACAAGGCAAGCTTCCTAGTTTCTTGCTCGGGGATCTCTTGCGTGGTAACCTCCAGTCCAAGGTACTGAAAAGGAAAGGATGCTGAGACTGCTGGTTCTTTCTGGGGTTGTGAGCGCTCTGGTTTTATTTTCTTTTTTTCCCTCCCCCCTTCAAACTACTGAAGGGAATGGGGGGACCTATTTCGTTCTTGTTTGCTTTGTACGAAGGATGCAAGCCAATGTCTTAGGTCTGCTCTTAAATCATTCATGAGCTTTGCTTTCCCCATCGCCCCCCTTCAACTAAGTGAAGAGAACTAGTTTTAAAAAACAGGAACCAGCCTATGGGGAAAATGGCAGGTGTTTAAAAGCAACTTTGGTGTTAAAAGCTCCTGGGTGGCTTGTTCGAGGAGTAGGGTTGTTGTGGGTTTTTTTTTTTCCCTGACTACTTCCCACTTCTCTGTGAATAGCGATGAGACAGGAGGCAAATGTGCCATGTTTGTTTTCGTGCTCTGTTTACCCCGAGCAATCGGAAGGTTTGTTTCTAGCTAGCTTGGATCAGAGGCTGTTCTCGTAGGGTCCCTTTTAAAATAGTCACCCAGGAGGAAAAGTTTTTAAAACCCCCGCAAAACGTTGGCACAGCAAGTGGAAACGGTGCCTCAGCCCAGTTTGCTGAGTGGCAGGGGCTGTCTCCTCGTGGCAATTTAGAGAGCAAAACCGCGGGCACGTTCAAGGGGCTTTCGCTCCAAGTGACCTGCCCCAACAAAAGAGCAAGTCACAATAAGATGGACATGAACCACTGAGCAGAACGGATACCTAGAGGCTGGAGGCCTTTGTGTTGTGACTCATCAGGATATTAGCTTTGAAATCCCCCCTCCCCGCCCCGGTTCTGAAGCGAACTGTTCGCTTCGAGCTTGGAACCAGGACCTGCCCGGCTCTCCCCTACTTTTCTCTTTGACTTTCTGAGCATTAGTCTGTAGTTGTAGGGGACCGCCATTTCCACATCCTGGAGGGGAGGCCAGAGCACGAGCTAACCGTGCCACAAGACAGCCCCCATCGCTGTGTTCCTCGTCCGTCCATTGTTGGCTCCTCTTTGCTTGTCTTCTAATCCTTCCCCCAGGAAAGGCAATTTCAGGCAAAGTACCTCCTCCCCATATCCCTCTGCCGGTTCTTTTATTTCTCGCCCCCCCCCTCTCGTTGGTTCATCTGCTGTTTATTATCAGCTTTTTCCATATGGTCACTTTAATTAATGGCAGACAAAAGGGGGTGGGGGGGGGGAGAAATCCAGGAATTAGAGTTTATAGTGGTTGTCGCCGAGGCTGTCATAGAAACCAGCAGCGGAGATGCCGCCTGTGCACGTCTTTGTATGATGCTGTTTATTGTTCCAGGGGCAGCGCGCATTGCAGCGGGGGGAGAAAGGATCGAACCACCGGACACGGTGTTGGTTGGTTGTGAGCTCTAGAATTCTAGGGAAGTTGGTAGTTGTTAGGACTGTCACGGTGTGCCTGTGCCTGGTGGAGGCCGGGAATAGGTGTGTTTGGTGGTTGTTAGGGGTTTTTTTTGGGGGGGGGGGGTTTGAAATCTGAAGGATACACAACAGTGGAGAAAAGAGGGGCGCTGGGAAGAGCTATTCCCTTCTTAGGGGAACTCTGGAAAGTTTGATGAACGTGCAACCAACCCAGGCTTGCTAATTAACGAGAGAGCCCAGTGCGCTCTATAAATAGCCCAAAGTAGCTTATTTTGCTGGTCGGTCAGGTATGCTCTTACGCAAGCAAGCAGCCCTGCTCTTGCGGAATGGGTGTGGGAGGTTTCGCTAGGGCTGGCTGTGCTCTTGGAAGGAGCCAGGGGCTCGACTCCCTGGCTTAAACTTAGCCCAAAGTGCACGCACAGCAGCTCCTCCTACGGGCTCCCTGGGGTCTCTTATGGGATTCCTTTGGATGGGGGGTATTGGTCACACTGGGGATAACGTGTCAAGACCACACGGGTGTTGATCACAGTAGCGCTGCTGCCCTTGTGTCCCTCCCCGCACAATTGGTTTGCGTGGCGAGGGGGCTTGTAAGCGACCCTTTGCGCTGAGTCTGGGATGTTTCTACCGCGCACGTGTCACTGTACCCGCTTTCCCAAGCGCGTCGTAGATGCGTTTATGGTAAAGAGACAAGCTTCTGCTCTAACCTCTCCCCTACGCTACTGGAGCGGTAGGCATCAGAAATGCAGCTCCGGGGGGTCCCTGCAAGGTAGAGGCGAGTCTGGTCTGACTCCTTCACATCCACACGGGTTCCCTAAGGCCCCAGACCCAGTCGGTGGGTGGGTGACATTTACTCCTGTGGAGGAAACCAGCTAAGATGCGTCGCTTAAGTCACGTGTGCTGTTGCTCTAAACAGAGGTGAATTTTCCCCCTTTGGGATAACACGGTCCCAACGTGTTGGGTTTTCTCGCGCTTTCTTCCACTCCCCCTTGTGCAAAATCCCTCTCAATAACTCCGTCTCGGGGGTGCATTTTGAGCTTCACAAAACAATGCCCTGCTGTAGTCCTCTAGAACTATTTGTATCTCCCCCCCACACACAAGGCCTCCCCTTTACTCCAGTGCTTTGGGTGTCTGTCTACAACTGAAGTGTGTGTGTGTGTGTGTGTGTGTGTGTTTGGAAACACCCCTGGAGCGCTAATGGGCGTGACACTCATCAAGTTCAGGTCGCAGTGGGACTCTCTCGGGGCGCTGCGGTGGGTGGCTGGAGCGCCAGGGGGCTGCTGCTGTCCGGCCTGGTTCCATGCGTCAGGCTGCCTCTGGTTTCCCCTTTGCCCGGCTGTGCTTTCTGCCTGGCTGGCGTTTTCTGCTGCGCTCGGGTTTGTTGGTATGAAGGCGGCTGGCCAAATGCTGACTCCGTGCGGCTCATCCCGCGGTGGGGAGGGGCCGCAGGCCCAGGTGCTTTCAAACCGGGGAGCGGAGGAGCAGAATGGTCCCTGAGAAGAGACCAGCTGGGTCGAGCTGCTCTCCCGTGCCCGGCTGTGCTTTCTGCCTGGCTGGCGTTTTCTGCTGCGCTCGGGTTTGTTGGTATGAAGGCGGCTGGCCAAATGCTGACTCCGTGCGGCTCATCCCGCGGTGGGGAGGGGCCGCAGGCCCAGGTGCTTTCAAACCGGGGAGCGGAGGAGCAGAATGGTCCCTGAGAAGAGACCAGCTGGGTCGAGCTGCTCTCCCGTAGGGGTCCTAATATACACCTGTGCACTTTTTGCCTATACACCGGCACATGCCGGTGGGGCCCGCTGGCTAAGTGCCTGCTTCGGTTTCTGGAGGCGAGGGAGGCACGTGTGGAGCCTCCCCAGGTGGCTTCCCAAAATGCAGCCCGAGTCCTGTCTCTGGCAAAGCGGGGAGACCAGCTTGGGGTCCCAACGAAGGCACAGAGCGGCTCCAAACACCCCGGCCTAGCCCTTTCCCTCCCCGCCCTCCTTTCTCCCCCTACGCTGGAGTGACTCCAAATCTGAAAGCAGAGACAAAGCTGGGGCCACGTACTTCCAACCTGGGCACACGTACTTCTAATCCCTCGCCCAGTGGATTCGCCCTTGGCGGCGGGGAGGGGCAGGTGCCTGGAAGGTGTCAGCCCACCCCCTCCCTAGCTCTCCAGCCTGTCCGGATGGATCTCTGCCTCCCGGGGCAGCCCTCCCCAGCTTTAGAGCCGTGCCCTTATTGACGCTACCTTTGGCGCAGTTGTCAAAAAATAAAACCCAACCCCTTCAAGCCCGCGACTTTTTTTTTTAAGGTTC